CTCTGGTAATCTCCTCCGCCCTAAAGCTCTTCGATCACATACTGAAACAAACCCGGGCCGCGTCTCCCTTCTCAGTACCTGCCTACATAGCCGAATCATCCCTAATGGACTCCACACAACATTCAGACCATCCCAATTTGGACCAAACCACGACAACCACTACCTACAGTGCATCCAGAGCCTCCAGAAACTGTTTTCACTGCTGATCCTTAGCTCCACGCTCGCAGCCATGCGCCAGCATCTTCTCTCACTACAGTCAACCCTACCCCAGCTCAGAGCCTCTCTTTCCCAAACTTGCAAAGGACCTCTACTGATATTCTTTCTATGCAAGATCCACACCCTCAACCAACGCTTTTTCTTCACCCTAAAAAAAGCAGTTCTGAAGAAGGGTCCCAACCGAAAATGTAGACTTTCCTGCTCCGCTGATGCTGCCTGACCTGTGTTCCTCCAGCTCCACACTGTTGACTGACTCCAGCATCTGCAGTTCTTGGTATCTTCAGTCAATTTAATGTCAGTGGTGAGAAAGCTTTACAAATAATTGACTGACTCATATAGGGATCTGAATGATTTGGATTATGACAAGAGGTGTGACAGAATTGGGTGACAAACACATTGTCCCTCATCTCAGTTGGGAGCAACTTGTACAATGTTTTGTGCTTTTCACCAGTGGAGTAGTCAGATTCTTGCTAAGCAGTGGTGAGTTGCCAACTGCCTGTCATTACTGGTTGTTAAAACATTTCCAAGAGCCCAACTCACCTCATTAATATTCAGCCTCCCAACTTATTGGCTAAACAAGTTCGACATCAGGAAAATTTGATATGGGAACTAAATCGGATACTCGGCAAATTCAGCTCACTCCTTGCTTCGAACAACCCCCATGTTGGAAACTGGGCACCAATGTGTCAAGGCATTCTCCATGATCACTGGCCTCTTGTACCCCATGTCCACAAGCATTGACATCCAACATGTACCAGCCGCTAACAACTCTTATGGCACATCACTGATTCACTTGCAGGGTTCCTGTGCATTTCAGTGCTGCATCAGCAACTGACATTGTAATATTACTATTGTAACAGTACTGAAAGGACACAGAACTCATGGACATACATCCAGCTCATGGACTGAACTAGGCTGTAACCTCAGGCTATTCACTTGTTCTCATGGAACTCACTCACCTACCTGATGCTCGCAGCATCCCTGCCTTTTTGTGCCTTACCTTGCCTTGCCCTTCCCTTTTGTGCTTTGTTCCTTCAGCCAGAGATACCACGTTATGTTACTGGGTCATATTACTGCTGTTGTATCATGCTTTTTGGCACAGAGAAAGCCAGAAGGTTGTCATAATCGTCAGCAGGCCTCAGCACAGCAAGTCAAGGGCAACCTCCAATGCCAGACCAGTCCCTGCTGGGCGGTCAGAGTCAGGATCCTCTCCTCATGAGGGGTGAGGAGCTGAATGATGGGCAGCACACTGAATTGACCCTCTCTGCCTATTGGGTAAAAAACCTCATTAGGTGTCATGACAACAAACTGTTCAAAAAAATTGATGCAACTTGAGCACAGCCAAAAAGGTTAAGTTCAGGCCAGTAGTTTGGAACAAAATGAGCAGTCACCTGGACAAAGGTGAATGAATTAAGGAAATCTGGTTTGGATATGCTAATGACAGGCTGTACTTAACTAACTTAACTAAGTGTTTTGACTTTGATTAAAAGGAAGGTTGATGAAGATGACACATTTGATGTGCTGTACATGAACTTGCAAAAGACATTTGATAATTTGGGAGAGGTGATGGCCTGGTGATATTGTCGCTAGACTAACAAGCCAAAGACCTCTGTAGTATTTTAGGTCCAGATTTTGAATCCAACATGGCAGATGGTCAAATTTGAATTCAGTAAAAAATCTGGAATTAAAAGTCTAATCATGAGCATGAAAGCATTGTTGATTGTCATAAAAACTCCTGTGGTTCACTAATGAAGGAAACTATCGTCCTTATCTGGTCTAGCCTACATGTGACTCCAGATCCAGTCACTTCCTTCATGACTGATGGTACACACTGCTGCCATTGTGTACCATCTACAAAATGCAGTGCAGCAGATTAAATTTAATATTGAGAATTGTGATGTGTTAAGTTTTGGTAGGACCAAAAAGGCAAGACAATATGCAATAAATAGTACAATTCTAAATGGGGTGCTGGAGCACAAATCATTAAAGATGGCAAGAAAGAAAAGGGATAGGAGATAAGGTTAAGGATAATCCAAAGAGATTCTACCAGTACATTAAGAGCAAAAGAGCAACGAGGGAGAGAATAGGACCCCTTAAAGACCAACAAGGTCATTTATGTGTGGAGCCACAGGAGATGGGAGAGATACTAAATGAATATTTCGCATCACTTTTACTGTGGAGAAAGAAATGAAGGCTAGGGACCTCAGGGAAATAAATATTGATGTCTTGAAAACAGTCCACATTACAGAAGAGGATGTGCTGGAGGTGTTAAGAACGTAAAGGTAGATAAAACTTCAGGATCTGATCCGGTGTAACCCAGGACATTGTGGGAAGTTAGGACATTGCGGGATCCTTACAGAAATATTTGCATCATCTATAACTATGAGTGAGGTGCGGGATGACTGGACAGTGGCTAATGTTGTGCTTTTATTTAAGAAAGTCTGTAAGGAAAAGCCTGGGAACCATAGACCTGTGAGTCTGATATGAGTGGCGGATAAGTTGTTGGAGGAGATTGAGAGATAGGATTTACATGCATTTAGAGAGGTAAAGACTTAAGGATAGTCAGCATGACTTTGTGCATGGGAAATCATGTCTCACAAACTTGAGTGAGTTTCTTGAGGACGTAACCAAAAAGGTTGATTTGGGCAGAGTAGACATTGTTGACATGGACTTTACTAAAGCTTTGACAAGGTTCCGCATGGTAGAATAATTAGTAAATTTAGATTACATGGGATTCAGGGAGAGCTTGCCAATTGTATACAAAATTGGCTTGATGGTAGGGAGGCAAGAGAGTGGCATTTTTGATTAAGGAAGACATTACTGGTGTACTTAGGATATTTCTGAGGGATCGTCCAGTGAAGCTATATGGGTGGAACTCAGAAATTAGAAGAAGATGATCACCAAGATGGAACTTTGCTATAGGGCCCCCCGCAATAGTCAAAGGGAAATTGAGGAACAAATATGCAGAGAGATCTCAGATATATGTAAGAATAATAGGGTTGTAATAGTAGGAGATTTTAACTTTCCAAACATAGACTGAGACTGCCATAGTGTTAAGGGCTTGGATGGTAAGGATTTTGTTAAATGTGTTCAAGAAAATTTTCTTTATCAATTTGTAGATGCACCTACAAGAGAAGGAACAAAACTTGACCTCTTGGGAAATAAAGCAGGGTGAGTGACTGGAGCATTAGTGGGGCAGCACTTTGGGACCAGTGATTATAATTCTGTTAGTTTTAAAATAGTTATGGAAAGGGATAGGCCTTGTATAAAAGTTAAAGTTAAAGTTCTTAATTGGAGTAAGGCAAATTTCAATGGTCTGAGACAGGAACTTTCGACAGTTGACTGGAGTAAACTGTTTGCAGGTAAAGGGACAACTAGCAAGTGGGAGGCTTTCAGAATTGAGACAATGAGTTCAGAGGCATTATGTTCCTGTTAGAATGAAGGATAAGGCTCGTAAGTGTGGGGATCAATGGATGAATAAAGATATGGGGCTCTAGTCAAGAATAAGAAGGATCGCATGGCATTCAGGGAGACCTTACCAATTAGGTACAAAATTGGTTTGACAGTTGGAGACAGAGGGTGGTGGTTGTTTTGCACACTGGAGACCTGTGACCATATGTGTTCCACAGGGATCAGTGCTGGGTCCACTGTTGTTTGCAATTTGCATAAATGATTGGATGAGAAGGAGGCATGGTCAGTACGTTTGCAGATGACGCCAAAATTCGTCTTATAGTCAACTGTAAGGAAGGTTATCTAAGATTACAAAGGGATCTTGATCAATTGGGCCAAAGGGCTGAGGTGTGGCAGATGGAGTTTAATTTGGATAAATGCGAGATATTTCATTTTGGTAAAACAAACAATGGCAGGACTTACACAGTTATACAGTAGGGCCATGGGTAGTGTTGTCAAATGGAGAGACCAAGGAGTTCAGGTACATAATCTTTGAAAGTTGCATCCCAGGTGGATGGGGTGATGAAGAAGGGGCTTAGCACGCTTGCCTTCATTGCCCAGATCATTGAGTATAGAAGTCGGGATGTCATGTTGAGGTTGTACCAGACGTTGCTGAGGCCATTTTTGCAGTACTGTGTACAGTTCTGGTCACCCTTTGATAGGAAGGAATTTATTAAACTGAAGAGGGTTCAGAAAAGATTTACCAGGATGTTGCCAGGACTGGAAGGATTGAGTTATAAGGATAGGCTGAATAGGCTGGTACTTTTTTCACTGGAGTGTAGGAGGTTGAGGGGTGACCTTATAGAGGTTTTAAAAATCATGAAGGGCATAGATAAGGTGAATAGCAATGTCTCTTCCCTAGGGTAGGGGAGTTCAAAACTAGAGGGCATATTTTTGAGATGAGAGGAGAAAGATTTAAAAGGCACCTGAGGGGCAACTTTTTCACAAAGAGGGTGGTTCGAATGTGGAACGAACTGCCAGAAGTAGTAGTAGATGCAGGTATAGTTATAACATTTAAAAGAATTTGAATGAGTAGGAAAGGTTTAGAGGGATTTGGGCCAAATGCAGGCAAGTAGGTCTAGTTTAGTTTGGGAAATTTGGTCGGCACGGACGAGTTGGACCAAATGGTCTGTTTCTATGCTGTATGACTCTAAGTGGTTGACTCTTATCTGCCCTCTGAAATGGCCAGCCAACCACTGAGTTGTACCAGTTGCCAGAAAGGAAAAAAGGAATGACGCTGGATAGATCATCTGGCATTAACTAAGGCATCAAAAACAGCAACAGTAAATACAACCCTGTTGACCCTGCAAAGTCTTCCTTTCTAATTTATGCAGGCTGGTGTCAAAATTGGGAGAGTTGTCTCGCTAACTCGTCAAGCAACAGTCTGACAGTCATAATCATGGAATCATACCTTACACACAAGGACCCACCGCCATCCATTGGTATGTCTTCTCCCAACAGATATGGCAACACTTGTATACCCTCAGGTGGGAGCAGCACTAGGAGTTCTCAACTCCGTCACTTTGGCATATCCCCCATTCTACCATTACCACGTAGCCGGATGATCAAGCCTGGTTCAATAAAGTGTAAGAATGCATATCAGGAACAGCAATGGGCATATCTAAAAATGAGGTGTCAACCTAGTGAAGCTTCAAAACAGGATTACTTGCACGCCAAATGACATAAACGTTAGGTGATAGACAGAACTAAGCGTTTACATATCCAGTGGGTCATATCTAAACTCTGCAGTCCTGCTACATATAGTTGTCAATAGTGATGGACAATTAAAAAACTCAGTGGGGGAGGAGTATACACAAACTTGCCCATCCGCAATGATGGGGGAGCCAGACAGGCTGCTGTGGTCTGCAGATATAATCACTTGATTATATCAAGGTTGCAGGAGTGTACCAGCAGGCAGGAAGGTGGTTTGAAGTGTGTCTACTTCAATGCCAGGAGCATCCGGAATAAGGTGGGTGAACTTGCAGCATGGGTTGGTACCTGGGACTTCGATGTTGTGGCCATTTCGGAGACATGGATAGAGCAGGGACAGGAATGGTTGTTGCAGGTTCCGGGGTTTAGATGTTTCAGTAAGATCAGGGAAGGTGGTAAAAGAGGGGGAGGTGTGGCATTGTTAGTCAAGGACAGTATTACGGTGGCAGAAAGGACATTTGATGACAACTCGTCTACTGAGGTAGTATGGGCTGAGGTTAGAACCAGGAAAGGAGAGGTCACCCTGTTGGGAGTTTTCTATAGGCCTCCGAAAAGTTCCAGAGATGTAGAGGAAAAGATTGCAAAGATGATTCTGGATAGGAGCAAAAGTAACAGGGTAGTTGTTATGGGGGACTTTAACTTTCCAAATATTGACTGGAAACGCTATAGTTCAAGTACTTCAGATGGGTCAGTTTTTGTCCAATGTGTGCAGGAGGGTTTCCTGACACAGTATGTAGATAGGCCAACAAGAGGCAAGGCCACATTGGATTTGGTACTGGGTAATGAACCAGGCCAGGTGTTAGATTTGGAGGTAGGAGAGCACTTTGGTGATAGTGACCACAATTCGGTTACGTTTACTTTAGCGATGGAAAGGGATTGGTATATAAAGCAGGGCAAGAGTTATAGCTGGGGGAAAGGCAACTATGAGGCGATGAGGCAAGATTTAGGATGCATAGGATGGAGAAGGAAACTGCAGGGGCTGGGCACAATTGAAATGTGGAGCTTGTTCAAGGAACAGCTACTGTGTGTCCTTGAGAAGTATGTACCTGTCAGGCAGGGAGGAAGTGGTCGAGCGAGGGAACCGTGGTTTACTAAAGAAGTTGAATTTCTTGTCAAGAGGAAGAAGGAGGCTTATGTAGAGATGAGGCGTGAAGGCTCAGTGAGGGCGCTTGAGAGTTACAAGTTAGCCAGGAAGGACCTAAAGAGAGAGCTAAGAAGAGCCAGGAGGGGACATGAGAAGTCTTTAGCAGGTAGGATCAAGGAAAACCCTAAAGCTTTCTTTGGTATGTCAGGAATAAAAGAATGACTAGAGTAAGATTGGGGCCGGTCAAGGACAGTAGTGGGAAGTTGTGCGTGGAGTCCGAAGAGATAGGAGAGGTGCTAAATGAATATTTTTCATCAGTATTCACGCAGGAAAAAGACAATGCAGTCGAGGAGAATACTGAGATACAGTCTATTAGACTAGACGGGATTGAGGTTCATAAGGAGGAGGTGTTAGCAATTCCGGAAGGTTTGAAAATAGATAAGTCCCCTGGGCCGGATGGGATTTATCCTAGGATTCTCTGGGAAGCTAGGGAGGAGATTGCAGAGCCTTTGGCTTTGATCTTTATGTCGTCATTGTCTACAGGAATAGTGCCAGAAGACTGGAGACTAGCAAATGTTGTCCCCTTGTTCAAGAAGGGGAGTAGAGACAACCCTGGTAATTATAGACCAGTGAGCCTTACTTCGGTTGTGGGTAAAGTGTTGGAAAGGATTATAAGAGATAGGATTTATAATCATCTAGAAAGGAATAATTTGATTAGGGATAGTCAACACGGTTTTGTGAAGGGTAGGTCGTGCCTCACAAACCTTATTGAGTTCTTCGAGAAGGTGACCAAACAGGTGGATGAGGGTAAAGCGGTTGATGTGGTGTATTTGGATTTCAGTAAAGCGTTTGATAAGGTTCCCCATGGTAGGCTATTGCAGAAAATACGGAGGCATGGGATTGAGGGTGATTTAGCGGTTTGGATCAGAAATTGGCTAGAAGACAGAGGGTGGTGGTTGATGGGAAATGTTCATCCTGGAGTTCAGTTACTAGTGGTGTACCTCAAGGATCTGTTTTGGGGCCACTGCTGTTTGTCATTTTTATAAATGACCCGGATGAGGGCGTAGAAGGATGGGTTAGTAAATTTGCGGATGACACCAAAGTCGGTGGAGTTGTGGATAGTGCAGAAGGATGTTGTAGGTTACAGAGGGACATAGATAAGCTGCAGAGCTGGGCTGAGAGGTAGCAAATGGAGTTTAATGCGGAAAAGTGTGAGGTGATTCACTTTGGAAGGAGTAACAGGAATACAGAGTACTGGGCTAATGGTAAGATTCTTGGTAGTGTGGATGAGCAGAAAGATCTCGGTGTCCATGTGCATAGATCACTGAAAGTTGCCACCCAGGTTGATAGCGTTGTTAAGAAGGCGTACAGTATGTTAGGTTTTATTGGTAGAGGGATTGAGTTTCGGAGCCATGAGGTCATGTTGCAGCTGTACAAAACTCTGGTGCAGCCGCACTTGGAGTATTGCGTACAGTTCTGGTCACTGCATTATAGGAAGGATGTGGAAGCATTGGAAAGGGTGCAGAGGAGATTTACCAGGATGTTGCCTGGTATGGAGGGAAGGTCTTATGAGGAAAGGCTGAGGGTTTTGAGGCTGTTTTCGTTAGAGAGAAGAAGGTTAAGAGGTGACTTGATAGAGACATACAAGATCATCAGAGGATTAGATAGGGTGGACAGTGGGAACCTTTTTCCTTGGATGGTGATGGCTAGCACGAGGGGACATGGCTTTAAATTGAGGGGTGATAGATATAGGACAGATGTCAGAGGTAGGTTCTTTACTCAGAGTAGTAAGGGCGTGGAATGCCCTGCCTGCAAAAATAGTAGACTCGCCCACTTTAAGGGCATTTAAATGGTCATTGGATAAACATATGGATGATAATGGAATAGTTTAGGTTAGATGGGCTTCAGATTAGTTTCACAGGTCGGCGCAACATCGAGGGCCGAAGGGCCTGTACTGCGCTGTAATGTTCTATGTTCTCTATGTTCTATGATTGGTACCACATACACCACCTTCAACATCCACTTCCTTCTCTACCGATGTAGAGTGGCAGCAGAGTGTACCATCTACAAAATGCAGTACAGCAGATTAAGTTTAATATTGAGAATTTTGATGTGATATATTTTGGTAGGAACAAGGCAAGCTAACGTAAAATAAATAGTACAATTCGAAATGGGCTGCAGGAGCAGAAGAACCTTGATTCATATGTATACAAATCATTGAAGATGGCACGAAAGACTGGTGTCTTTTTCTTTATTGATACTTTCTTGGGCAGTGGGCATCACTGGCTAGGTCAGCATTCATCGCTGATGCTTAATTGCTCTTAAGGAGGTAGGGCACCCACAGTACTTTTAGGAAGGGAGTTCCAGGATTATGACAGAGACAGTCAGGAACATCAGTATTGTTTTACATTAGGGTGGTCTACATTCATTTCAGAATCATACCGTTTAGTTTTGTTATCTCTTTGCCAGCCAACAACCAGTTCTAATAAGAGTGAATCTTACCATCTCCCCTTGACATTAAAGGCATTACCAACATTGAATCTCACAGAAACAACATTCTGGGATTTACCATTGACCAAAAACTGAACTCGTCCAGTCACAAATACTGTGGCTCCGAAAGCAGGCTCAAAGGCTACGAATTCAGTGCGAGTAATTCACCTCCTGTCTCCCCAGATGTTGTCTATTATCTACGAGGCACAAGTCAGGAATGTGAAGGGATACTCCTCACTTGAGTTGGTGATGCTGTACTCATCCAGGCAAAAAGCTCAACGCCATCCAGGACAAAGCAGCTGCATTGATTGGAACACCATTCACCTTGGAGCAGTGTTCCCAAACATCTGCTGCCTTTGTCTTTCTTTGTGTTAAAGGTCATATGTTTTGGAAGATGCTGACAAAAGAGGCTTGAAGAGTTGCTGCACTGCATTTTGTAGATGGTTCACATTGCTACCATTCTGCACCAGTGGTGAAGGAAGTGACTGTTGAAGGTGGTGGATGTGGTGCCAATCAAGTGATGATTATATTCTCACTTGTTGGAGATGATCATTGTCTGCAGAGAAAATATAGCCGAAAGGGTATGCTTCTAAAGTGGGTGCAGGAACAGAGGAATTTGGGTACATTTGTGCAGGAATAAACGAAGGTAACGGAATCAATAAAGAATGGTTAAAATCATAAGGTCATAAGAAATAAGAGCAGGACTAGGCTATTTTTCCCATTGAGCCTGCTTCACCATTCAGTATGATCACGCTGATCTGACTGCGGCCTCACCTCCACATATGCTGCCTGCCTCCGTAAACCTTGACACCTTTGTTGATCACAAATCTGCCAAATTATCCTTAATTATATTTAATGACTCAGTCTTCACTGCTCTCTGGGAAAGAAAATTCCAAAGAATAATTAATCTCAGATTAGAAATTGAATCTCATCTCTATCATAAATGGGAGATCTCTTCTTTTTAAAACTGGACCTCTAGTTTTAATTTTTCACATGAAAAGACACATCAATTCAACATCTATTCTATTAAGCCTCTTCGGAATCATTTTTGTTTTAATAAGATCACCTAAATGTCAATGAGTATAGACTCAACCTTTCCTCATAAGAGAACACTTTAATCCCAGGAATCAGCTGAGTGAACTTTTTTGAAACTGCTTC